AGATAGGTCCACTTCTGTCAAGCAGTTCTACAAAAATGAGAAAACTAGAATGTTACTAAGCATTTTATAAAGGTGAGAAGTATGTTAATGTTCATAATCAATTAGCCAACATTGGTTTGGTTGGCTCAGAATAAGAAATTGGTAAACATCTTCATTAAGTGGGAAAATCAACTACTTTAGAAGATGTCAAAGGGGGAAAAAACATTTACTTTGTAATGGAAAAGTTAAAAGCAGTCATTTACAAGACTTCTTTATGAATTAAATGTTCACACATTTAATGAACAAGTGTAGGCAAACTTGATTTTTTTTTTTTTTTTGGTTCCTCATGAAAGAACAGAATCTCAAGTGTGAATTGGAAGAGAGTTTTCAAAACTTTGGGGACAAATTTGGCATTTTTCTTTAGTAAGTAAATGTAAGAGACAGGAAGTAAAGTATTCTTTACTTTACCAAGAACATCAGCTGCTCTTTTACTAATTAAATCCGTGTGTTTGGTTGATGTGTGTCCCTTATTTCACCTCCAGAAGGTGCATGTAAATTCGTGTCTCTCTTTTGGATTCTACTTGCCCTTAACAGCAAGAACTGCTTAATTGGCCAGGCATGGTGGTTCACTCCTATAATCTCAGCACTTTGGGAGGCCAAGGCGGTTGGATCACTGGAGGTCAGGAGTTCAAGACCAGCCTGGCTAACATGGTGAAACACCATCTCCAGTAAAAATGCAAAAAAAAATAGCCGGGTGTTATGGCTTGCGTCTGTAATCCCATCTACACCAGAGGCTGAGGCAGGAGAATCGCTTGTAACTCAGAGGCAGAGGTTGCAGTGAGCTGAGACTGCACCACTGCACTCCAGCCTGGGCGACAGACCAAGACTTCATCTCAAAAAAAGAACTGCTGAATCAATGAAATTAACTTGGTAAGAAGTAAAGGTGCTCACTTGGCTATTAAATAAGCAAAGGTTGTAACATAGAATAGAAGTATTGGAGGTTGTTCAGAAACCGAAATTACTTCTCATTAAGGCTGTGCTTAAATTTATGTAGGAGATAAGCTTCCAAAAATTGTATGCATAGTACACATTTTACTTTAACTGCTCCCCAAAAAATATTGGCTCTTTAGTGGAACCCTAGAGTAAATCTGAAGAGCAGAGTTCTATGTTGAGGAGAATTTTAAGGCCCTAATTTTTCTGTTTGCTAAATCTCTGCTCTGTTCAAGTTGTCTGAAAGCAAAGGCATATTCATGACATAATAATTTGATAAATTATTTCCTGTTCCAAGGCCAGGTCTACAGGACACCGAGACAATAAGCCAATCTAAAGAAAATCAGTCAAGCATGCCTTTCATTAGCATTTTAGATCATTCCCTAACACAAACAACAACAATAAAAAACAGCTGTCCGATTTGTTCACTTTCTAACAAATGGAGTTCAGTTAATTATACTCAGTTCCATCACTTTTAAGGAAGAAATTCAATCAAATCAATTTGGGGTATTGTAAAAATTATTTAATGAATTGGCTGCAAGTTTTATTTCCCATTGGTGTTGGCATTGTACAATCCCAGGATACTGAGTATCTTAAGGAAATGAATGCCTGAAGAACCAACCAAATCATCTTAGACCAGAGGTTGGCAATTTTTTTCTATAATAAGCCAGAGAGTAAATATTTTAGGCTTTATATGCTGTACAGTCTCTGTCACAACTACTTGACTCTGCCTTGTAGCAAAAGCAGTCCTAGACAATACTCAAATGACAGACATGGCTGTGTTCCAATAAAACTTTATTTACAAATGGAGCAGCAGGCCTGATTTAGCACAGAGGCCATAGTTTGCAGACCCCTATTTTAGACCCTTGGAAAACTTTGCAATATCCTATCATCCAAGAACATTTAGACTAGGGCTTTTTAAGTATTCTAATCAAAGTGTGGAAAAGGATATATAAATTTAACATAACACTGATCACTCAAGATGTGCCCACTGGAGATTTCCAGGACGGAAGGTACTAACTCACCACTATCACTACTTATCAGGAAACTTGCTATAATTTTACGTACACTCTCTACTTTAGTTATCACAAAAACCTTGCGAAGCAGACATTAGAATCCCCACTTCCCAGGTGTTTCAGAGTGCGAGGAGGAATAACTAAGTAGCACAGTCAGCTTTCAAACCCAGACCTGCCTCCCTCCAAGGCTCCTGCTGCTTCCACTACACTGTTACTAGCTGGGGAGGGATGGTAATTCTTCACATCTGCACCTGACCAGCAGACCAAATCCAGAACCCAGGGAGGGGATCTACAGATGGAGTGACTGCATCCAATTGGCCCCTCAGACAAATTTCAAATCCATTGGTTGAGGCTTGAAGATTTCTACTTCTCTGTGCCAGCGGTTCTGGGCTTTGTCTTGTTATTCTCTCATCTTAACCGAAAGCTCATGTTCACATTTAGTCCACAAACGAGGGTCATGGACTAGGTAGGGAGGAGGCAACGTTCACAAAGTGAATGTTTTCTTAACCCTTTCCAGAACCCCACAGTACAGTCATTTCAGCTCATGCCTCGAGGATGTTTTCTGAAAAAAGAAAGTGCCCTTTCAGCACTCTTGATGTCTGATTTCAAACCCTGCCCTTCCATCGGGTGTTTGTAAGTGGGCTGACAATGCTGCCCTGTTTTTACTGATTTCCCCACAGGGTTTAGTCACCCAGGTGCCCTCTATATATACCACATACTTGGGTTCGGGTTAAGGGGATGGGTCCAGAGCCCAGGGCCTCTCCTACTTTCTTTTAAGGCTTAAAGGACAATTCAGGATAACTTTGATTTGTGTTCATGTAAACATGTGGAAATATTCACCCAAGTTATTCCACTGATGAGCTTACAATGTGGTCTCCCTTACGATGGAGTTTTGCTGGACCTGACTGGTCTCCAGGGTGTGAGCAGGAAGCATGCCCTCCAGCATCCCCTTTCAAAAACCTGGGGCCGGGCGCAGTGACTCACACATGTAATCCCAGCACTTTGGGAGGCAGAAGCAGGCATATCACTCGAGTCCAGGAGTTTGAGATCAGCCTGGACAACATAGCAAAACACTATCTCTACTAAAAATACAAAAAAATTAGCTGGGTGTGGTGGCAGGCACCTGTAGTCCCAGCTACTTGGGAGGCTGAGGTGAAAGAATCACTTGAACCTGGGAGGCAGAGGTCGCAGTGAGCTGAGATCACGACACGGCACTCCAGCCTCAGCAACAGAGCAAGATTCTGTCTCAAAAGAAAGTCTGTTCATCTCTTAGAAGGAATTAGAAATGAAAAAATTTAGTACAGAACCAAGAGGGAAAAATACAGCAAATTGTATATGCAGGGAAGCAACTCATATCTCAGAGGCTGACACAGACAGAGCGTGAAGTGCCACTGAATGTGACTTTAGTGGCACCTCACTTACTAAGGTTAGATCCTCAGAATGGGTATGATTTTTACCCCCACTTTACATATGAAAAATCTAAGGATTGAGAAAAAGGAAAGTGACTTGCTTATAGAAAGTAGGCACCAAGGCAAAACTCCCTCCAGGGGCTCACACAAAAATCAAATGATTCAGCCCTAAGCGAAAGGGCACACAGATGCTTAAAAGCCCCCAGTAAAGAGATGAATGCCCACCTGCTCTCATCCACAGAGCACTTACAACAGGGTCAGCTGCCATTGTCCCAGGAAGGATAGGCTGTCGCTGCTCCATCGCTTGCTGGTAGGAGTTGCATGCCAACCATTCTCGAATATTCCTAGTTATCTTGGGAGAAGTCCATAACTCTCAAACCCAAATTAAAGCTCATTTCTCTTCATTTTTAAAAAAATACATCTTACTGATATCAAATAATGGTGGGTCTTCACAATCTGAGAAATTTTGAAATCACTCTTCTGTATTACTTGTTAACCAGCTTAAATCCAGAGAATTTACATAAGGCATAAACCAAACGACAAATTGGTGATAAGGTGACAATGTCACATTTTAAACAGTGAAGTTATATTTTCAGAACTTTAATGGATCCAGTCGAGTATCTTTCCATAAAAAGGAACACTCCCTAATTTACCTTTTTCTGTAAATCTAGATTCTTTTATATTAAGCTTGCTTGACACAGAGCGTACTTAAATTAATTAAAAGGTGTTTTAAGAAACTAAGAATCTTTAAGAAAAAGATAGAGCAATTTTTGGTCATTCTTCTTGCTTGAGGAAGTATAGAACTAAGCCCCAATAAGGTTCAACTCTCAGAGGCTGAGTTGACTTTGTTTACCTCGTGAAAAGAATGTTGTAAATAATCTGTATGATTTCAGTTATGAGTAAGGCAAGTTGCTTTTTGGTCCACATAAAGGAAAATAAAGTTCACAGCTGTCCCATGCAACTCCAGGGAGAAAAATGAAGGCCAAAGATAAACCCACTGCTCCCTTTGCAGTGGGATAGACAGGCCTTGCCACAGAAGGGGAAAAAGAATGACAAAAGGCAAGACAGTGGAGCTAGTGAGGACACGCTTCGCCAAGCCAAGTCTCCACTCCTCCCAGGGTATCCACACGAACACGTCACGCCCTGGCAGAAAGCTAAGTCACTCATCTAGAAACAGTCCCAGGGAATTCAACAGCAAGCTGAAGAGCTGCTGCTTCTGGAAATAAAGCCCCTCCTGTAAAGAACTGCATGGCTTTTCCTCCCAGCCCCCAAACCCATCCCACATCTGGCTTTTGTTGTGTGAATCATAAACTGCCCTTTCTTCACCACAGTGATTCATGCACAGGAGCGAGGTACCCCGACCCTTCCCACCTTGGAACACTAGTTCGTTCCCCTCCAGCCTGGAAAATCAGCATCACCTCTGACAGGCTGGTTTCTCCACCAGGCTCCATCCCGCCCACCTCCCCACATCTCACTCCCAGGCTTGGAACCCAGACCCGGTGGCCCCATCACCTCCTCCACCAGCTCCCCAATCCCAGGCCAAGCTGTGATCACCTGGCCCCGCTGGCCCTCGCTTTGCTCTGACAGCCACCGCCAAACCACTTACGTTTTTGCCAGAGCATGGCCTGTGACAGGATGTTGCCTTTTCTCTTTGAAGCCGACAGTTTGGCTTCTTTAATGCGAGACTGGGGTGTGCTTTCCTCCAGTGGAGCCACCGCTTGTGCTGAGGCTGTTTCCTGGGCTTTTTAAAGGCCTGGGTTCCCGCTGCGTGGGGCGCGTCATCACGTCCTCCCACCTCAGGCGCGGGTGCAACGTTTCTGCAGCCAGGCCGCCGGTCACCCCACTGTGCGCGCCCCAGCGGCACAGGCCCAGAGTGTTCCACACCCGGAGCCAGCCAGCTGGGACAGAGCAACAGCGTAGCGCAGGCGGCCACAGCCTGCCCAGGCCCCACGGGGACGTGCTGGGTGTGGGTGTGAAGGTGGTGTGGGGCAAGCTGTGGGGACCCCATGTCTAGCCCTCCCCAGGCCAGTGATGAGCCCAAAAGCCTCTCTGGAAAACGTTGGGCTTTGCATAGCGCGTGCAGGCTTCCAAGCCACCAGGGCATGGGGTAGGACTCAGCCCGCCATGAGTGCCTGCTCTGCGGGAAATGCGATTCCCAGGGGTCACTGGTTCTCAACACGGAGGAAACACCTGTCATCTCATCTCTTCAAGCCTCAGTAAACAACCTTCTCATTCTTTTAATATTGCTTTTCTGTTTATTCCATTTTGAAACACAATAGCCCCTCCCCTCGCCCCCAGCCACCCCCAAAATGGCAAGGCTTAATCATGCTGAAATATGGGGGCGCTGGTTTTGATGGCGGCTATGCCCACGAAGAAAGAGGCCAAACTTCTCAGGGAAGAAAGGAGAACGTGCCCGTGCTTTTTGACTGGAGCTGGGCTTGTAGGCACAGGATGAACAGGGCCTCTCTGCGAGTGCCCACCCACTGATAACAGGAAGCTTCTTGAAGTAAAAGTCATGAGTTCACCACCTGGAAGTGTAGAGGGTGTTTGGCCACCAGCTCCTTCCCGGTTTGGAAGTCTTCTGCCACTGCATATCTGAGGTCCACATGCTCAGGCTCCAGGGACTCAGCCAGTTTGGGGTCAAGACCCGTTGGCTACCGCCCCTAGAGCAGGTGTGGGGCCTTGATGCTCTACAGTCCATAGTGCCTCAGAGCCATCTTGCACCACCTAGACCTGATCATGCTATCCTCCAGCCTACAAAGCATTCACCTTCTCCATTCAGCCACAGAGCTGGAGGCTTAGAAGGCCTCCCGCTATTGAGCCCTTGCCTTCCTTTCCAGCCTTACCACCCACTGCCCTCCAACCACTGGTCCCAGTGCCCTCTAAGCACCACCGAATACCCACGTAATTTCCTCCTTTGACTTTGCCATCCTCTCTTGCTGGGAGGACAAACCTCTAAGCCCAGAAAATATTTGTCGCTCTTTTCAGCTCTTAGTGCACTTTATCAATTCATTACGTGATGGTGAATTGTCACATGACTCTGTAAGTTTCTCAAGGAGGTTTCATCTTTGCCTCTCCAGTGCCCCCATACAAGACCTGGAGCGTACTGACCCCACAAAAAATTCATCTGATGAAGTTATGAATTAATGTCTCTAATGGATTATTGATTTGAGGCCAAGTCTTGAAGAGAACTGATGTCCACACTTCATAAATGACTCACTCAAAAGCCAGGGAGGCTGTCTCCTAGCTGGGAATAAGCCCTCCCCACAAAGCCTCTGTAGTTCAGGACAGTGGAGGCCACCAGGCTGCAGCAGCTGACAGTCCGCACCCTGGCCTGGCAGTGGGCAGTATGGCAAGGCCTTGGACTGCACTGAGGAAATTTCATGAGAAACAGAGGCACATCCCTCAGGCCTGGCTCAGTCACAGGAGATGTGGGTTCCCATGAAGGCTCCGACACTCACTTGCTGTGTCCCCTTCAACAAGTCACATAAGTCTTCTAGCCTCAGTTTCCTCATTTATAAAATGAAGAACCAGTTCTGTGAATGTCTCACAGGTTCTTAGGAGGCTGTGACCTCACTGGTCCTCTCTCCCATGGGGCTGTCTTTTGTCTATTTTGATTATGTCTCATTCTCTCCAAGCCCATGAAATTGAGAACTTTTTCTTATTCATCTCGGTGTCTCCCCACAGGCCTAGCATGATCATTTCCACAAAGTAAAAATAATAACCATTCACCGTGCAAGGGGCTCCATGTTAAGCCTTAAATACATGAACTAATCTAGTCACCACAAAAACTCTGTAAGAAAACTTCTATCTGTATTGTTCAGAGCAACAAACAAATACTTAGGGAATGTCATTTGCCCAGTGTCACCAGGCTATCAGGTTATAGGGTGGTGCCTGACCCAAGTTCATCTGACTAGAGCCAGAGCTCTAAATAATTAAACTAAAAGGTATTTATTAGGTTGAAAGAAGTGAAAGCCAAGTGTCAGCCATGTTTGTTAATAGTAATATAGGATCATTATTATTCAAACTAAAGCAGATCAATAGAAGCTATATCCCCTGGGATAAATTTCTGTCCTTTGGAAAGAGGGAAGGAAAAGGTGAAACCCAGAGATATTCTGACAAATCAGATCTTGCACAGTGGCAGAAAAAAAAATGTCAGTAGGCAAGCCCACCATCAGGGCCAGCAATAAACCCACCACCTCTTACAGCCTCAAAGCTCATGAGGCAGATTCCAGCTCATTTCTTCCAGCAAATACCCTGCATATCAGTGACCACATATAAGCAGGTGCTTTGGAATCAAGACTTGATCAAAACAGCACATATTTTCCAGGAAAATATTTTCTGTGACTTAGAATCAAAAGTCAAACTTCATGGCATAGTTCAAAAGAGGTGACTATGTTTATGCAATGTCTCAAGAAATGGAAGAAAAGAAAAAAAAAATCTATGAATGTGGTCCAGATGTCTCCAAATACAGGTGTGCTCCCATTTTTAAAGAATTTGATATACCAAGATCAAAACTTCTAAAATAATTTCTTAAAGAGCACTGATTCATATTGTAAAAGAAATTTTAGCTTTGCAAAAAGATTCACCATCGACTTCCTTTCTTCCATCATTTAATAGAGTGCTTATTATATGCCATTACCTGTGCCAAATCTTAATCTTTTCTTTTCATTTGGCCTTTAATCATCTTCATTCATGGCATTGCGTCATTTTTGATTTATGAAGAGCCCCTATATTATTCACTCATTCATTCATTTGCTCAGTAATCTATTCATTCTTCTGCTTTCCCCCTCATTTTCCAGGTCTATTCTTTTTCCTGTCCCCTCACACCCCCATCACCCACCCACCATTCCAATCAGGGAAACTCTTTTCAGTGGTTGATGTTGAGCCTTTTATTTGTAGACATTCGTTCCTGTTCTTATAAGATAGGTTTTGTTTGGCATGTGTAGATGTTTAATTCATGTAGATGATGTTGTGTTATACATTTCACACTGTTTCTTATTTTTTTAATTCAGCACAATGTTGTAAGAGCTATCCACATTGATGTAGACATTCCGTGTCTCACTTCTAACACCTGCAAAGTATTCCATGGTGTGCAAGCACTGCATTTTACCTAAGCAGACTGTCTCCAACTCCCTCTTCCACAAACAAAGCATCGATGAACATTCTTATGTGCATCTTTTTTCAAAGGCATGTGAAAATTTCATGGAGGTTATATGCCCAGAGGTGGAATTACTGGGTCAAATAATAGGTATATATTTAATTTGACTAAATACAAACAAATTGCTGTCCAAGACTTTCACCAGCACTTCGTTCTTCTCCCAGCTTCTCATATTTCTGCTTTACCACCAAACCTGGCATCATCCAAGATCTAAATGTTGCTAGTGTTGTAGATGTAGTGATAGCAACAGTGCAGTGGTTTGTTTTAGTGCAGTAGTGTAGTGATAGTGTGGTGGTTTGTTTTACATTACTAATACTAATGCATGTAAGCATGTCTTCATATGCACGTTAACCCTATGGAGTTTCCCTTCTCCAAAATGCCTGTTTAATCACTTCTAGGTCTTTTGGCTAAGATCAAGTGTAATATCCGTTCTTGCCAGTTTAAAATGTATGTTCATTCCTTTGCCAATTTCTCTACCAGGGTTGCCCTTTTTCTTGTTAATCAGCATTTCTTTGTACATCTGTACTCTAGATGTACAATTCTAGATATTTTCAGTTTTGCTCAACACAAATTTCTTCACTCTTGTCATCGGCTAACTTTATTCATAGTGTGATTTTTGAATAGAAATACATACTTTATGTACATAAACCTATTTTATTTTATTGGTCTCATTGTTCTTGTACTTTACAGTTTTCATTGTTATTTATTATAGCACAGCTTAAAAGTTTCATATAGGTTTATCAAGTTCCTCAAAACAACCCAGCCAGGCGCAGTGGCTCATGCCTATAATCCCAGCACTTTGGGAGGCTGAGGCAGATGGATGGATCACCTGAAGTCAGGTGTTTGAGACCAGCCTGGTCAACATGGTGAAGCCCTGTCTCCACTAAAAATACAAAAATCAGCCAGGCATGATGGCAGGCACCTGTAATCCCAGCCACTCAGGAGGCTAACGCAAGAGAATAGCTTGAACCCAGAAGGTTGCAGTGAGCTGAGATCACACCACTGCACTCCAGCCTGGGCGACACAGAAAG